CCAAACCATTCTAGGATTCTATGATTCCATGATGTATTAATTTAGTTTTCCATCACGTATCCTTCTTTTATAAATTCTGAACGACTTGAATGTTGAACAACAACTAGATTTTAATCTGCCATCCGGTTAGATGTTAGGAAAGTGGTAGTTTGATTTCCTGGTTTTGCAGCAGTACTTCTTGCTGTCCAAAGCCGGCAGAACGTTACTGCTGGTTAACTGAGGCAGGTGCTGTAACTAAAGGAAAAGTCACATAGTGTGTATTGGTTTGAAATGAGGTCAAAGCATGCATTTCATTTTTCAAAAAGCTATAAAACTATTCATACTGTAATCCTGTACTTTCCAAACTAACGGTCATGGATCAGGTGGTCTACAACTGGACTGCGGCCAGAACAGCTCATTAAAGGTATTTCTTCCAGTCATCTGGGGCAAGAAAAATATTAGTTACATCCCATGTCATAGAAATGGAAGAGGCGAGTCAGTTTGATCCAGGAATTTATATGCTGTAGCAGTTCTCCATCCTACGCTTCCAACTTCCCTGCATGTTCCCAGTTCCCCAGTCATGGGGAACGTGGCTCACAGGAGGAAAGAACCGCTGAATGACTCTCATCGTGAGGCTGGACTTGGAGACCTGGGCTGGCGTCTGGAAAGACTGAAACCGCAGGGAGATATTTGCCTGGCAGCTCCAGTTGCAGAAACACCCAGTGCACTGTGTAACGCCTGGAGCTGTGTAAGGCATCACATCCCATCAGCAGTTACAAATGCAACTGAGCGTTTTTGCCACCTCCATAATCCGGATTCAAAAGCACCAAACAGATCCCAGAGAACGCCGCACAAGCCTGCCCGGTTTGTTCCGCTGCCCTGCTGTTCTTTGGCAGGAACGCACATTCCTGGACAATCCCAATCTCTCCCATTGCTGTGCTGCTTATCCCCAGGGACTCGATGGAGCTGCAATGCAGAATTCCGTTTGTACTGACTTACTCTTTAGCTGGGACATTAATTTTCTCCTCGGGCTAAAATTAAGATCAGTCTAACGTTAACAGCCAGCACGAGCCCACCTCCTGGGAGCAAACCAAAGCAAACCAGTCCCCTCCTTAGGCACATGGAATTAAATACTGCTACGAAAACGTTACCCCTGGTGCGTGCTTCCGAGCCAGCCTGGCTGGTTTCCGAGCTGTTTTTTCATGTTCTTTCCCCAGATTCGCTGCCTCCTTAATTCTGTCAAAATAGGGATGCTGCAGCAGCTGCTCACATGTCTGCCTCTCGGCGGGGTCCATACGAAGGCAACCCTTAGAAAAAAGGAAAAAAGGATCACACAGAACTCTGGTGAAACAGGTCTGCACAATTCCAGCTACTCACCACAGCCAGCAAGTATTCACACAGATACATGTGTTAACCTTTTTTTCTTTTTTTCAAATTAATTAATTGTCAGAGTCTGGCTTTTCAGAGCCAGCACGAAGCTTGCAAAGCAGCTCATACTGAACAACTGCCACAAGGCAGTAATAGAAATTGTGGCTGGAGGGACAGCTACAATTGTATGGTGTAGAAAACCATCAAGCCCCAAAAAAGTTAAGCCCCTGACTTTCATTTGAACGAGGACAACTCTCTGAAATGGGAATCCACTACGACACTGGCTGTGCTGTTCCAGTGTTCAGCGTAGCGAGTACTACCCACAGCTGCACCTGCTTTTTAACGTGTCCATCCTCACCGTTTCCATTCACTGCATCTTAATAGAGGAATAACATGTTTTCCACCTCCATGGTAAAGCTGAGTGGATTAGAGAGGAGTGGATTAAAAGTCCTCTCCGAGTCCCCTCCGGCTCTATTTTTCAATGAATCTCTGATAATTCAGTAACCAACTCTCAAACCATTTACCAGTTGGAGAAGTAAAACAGACTTTGTAGCATTTGCTACGTCTCAGCGCAGAGCAACTCCAGTAGCTGTAAATTTCTTACCTTCATGAGAGCTAAAGCAGAGTATGAAATATTGGGGAATTTCATTTCTAACGGCTCCTGGAGGGAAAAAACCCAATAGTGAGTGTACTCATATTAGCAAGCATTTCATTCCTCAGGGTACAGAGAACCAGCTTTCCATAGCAACACGGCCTGTACCTCAAAAAATGCATCTATCACTCCGTGTGCTCAGCGGGGAGCTGCCTGGCGTTTCTGAGGCTGAGTAGGTGTCATGGTTTGGTACAGTGGCACAGTAGGTCGGCTGCTGTGCCACCAGCAGCAGGGAGAAGGAGCAAAGGTTAAGCATCTGTTTGAGGCCCTGAGCAACCTGATCTAGTTGGAGATGTCCCTGTTCCTTGCAGGGGGGTTGGACTAGATGACCTTTGAGGGTCCCTTCCAGCCCTAACCATTCTATGATTCTATGATTCTATGATTCTATGACTGCTTTTACACAGGGTATTGGGTAAAACGTCATGAGACGGGTTCAGCCACCCCCAAATAATATTCTAGTGCACACTGGCAAAGGTTTTGGACAGGTAAAAAGGACCGGTCAAGCGGAGCAAGCAATGCTTTTCCAGCTCTACTTCCAAAGCAGATAGCACATGTACTCTGGGTAAAAAGCAGTAGGAACATTTCTCTGTCCAAACACCATGTCTCCTTAGCGCTGCAGACAGACAGACTGCTGGTTAGCACTAGGCTCGAGAGAAGTGTGTCTGGAGGGAGCTCTTACCATGCTCTCCGGGTCTGGAATTCTTACCCCGCTGAAGAACTGGTTGGTGCTGAACACTTGCTGGTGCCTGGGAATAAGATCCCCTTTGACCAAGAATAAAAAAACAGAGTGGGATTAATTTGCTATTTTTACAGTGCCTGCATTGAACAAGCTTATCCTCTAACAAGGCTGACACCATCTGAGAGAACATCTAAAGAGATGGAGCACCATCAAGTGAGCTGACGAAACGTTCTTTTGCGAAAACTAATGTCCATGTAGGTCATCAGTGATCCCACAGCCCACAGAATGAAAGACAGGACCACACAGCTCCCGCTGCCCGCAGTCACAACTGCCCAGGGCCTCATGCTGGAAACAAATTCAGCTGGTGGGAGCAGTTTCTGGAGCAGGAGTACTCAGTTGCTGTGCATCTTCCAGGCCCTGCGTTCCTGTGCTGTGCAGCAGAGCGGCTTTTAGGAACTGTGGCCACTATAGCTGGGGGCGTTGGAAAATACGTACTTCTGTCTATCTCCCCATGCCAAACGCCCAGATCCTATCACTGCTTTATCTGGGAAACTGCATGTTCGGATTTGCACTAGCAAAAAGACCCCTTGGTAGAAAAACAAGGAATGAGGTGGGCAAGGCACTGAGTTGCACAAACACATCTGCTCTGTGCCACCACCTGTGCCTCCACCGCGCGCCTGCCAGACTCAGGCTGGGTGTGGGTGAGTGGGGAAACGAGCCCCAGCATGAGAGCTAGAGGGTGCTGTGCAAACACCTCCCAGGATCCGAAACTCCAGCCATGCCACAGCACCCAGCTTCAGCCAGGGATCCTTCCCAAAGCGTTAAGCAAGATGCCCATCAGCAGCTGACTCCTCTGCCCACATCAGACACAACGGGTCAGCCCTGGGCTCTGGGAGGAGCCACTCTTTGTTTTGGAGATTAACTCGCATTGGGTGAAATTCTTTTTGTGCATTCCTGAGGATGGTGTACAGAAAAGAGCTGAAATGCAGCGCCGACAGGAACGTGCTGCAACTTTTCCCCAAATGCAGTTTCACAGCCCTTTTTTGAAGCTTAGAGCAGCTCCGAGCAAGCAAAATGTTAAAATCAAATCCCGAACAACAGAGCCAGTACAACAGCCAAACCATCGTAATCACACAGCTTTGGCCGTGGAGCTTTTCCCTGTCAACACTGCCTCAGTCCATCACCTGGATCAAAAGGGAATTTCTTCTGGCTGAAACCCTACCATTAAAAATAAATTATAACTTACCTAACACTGGCATAACTGTATTCTGGAGCAATCAAGGTTGAACTGTTTTTCTAGCTAAGGAGCTGATCTGCTTAAAGCCATTAGTCACTTTTATAGTTTTATAAACTGCTCGGTAAAAATCACAATTCTCAGTTCATTCCAACAAATTTCAGTTAAAAGTAGGGGGTTGTTCCTTTCCACCCAAGAAATCGGATGCTACACACCAAGATCAAACAGAATCAATGAGACTGGATCAACTTCAGTGTTACATGGATAATGCCTCTTTTATTTAACCTCTGTTCCAAATCCGGAGTGGCTCCTAAAACTCCTTGGTGAATACAGACAAACAAGTGGAACAGACAAAACTTCCATGTTCACACTCTCTTTCCCAAGCACGCAGCCATCAACAGGCATCTCCAATGTTTACGAGACCTCCAAAGCTGTGATGAACTAAATCCAACTATTTATTATCCAGAGGCATGGACCACTTCGCTTGGTACCAAACCCTGAAAAATACCTGGATCTTTCAAACCTTTACGCAAAAGCGCTCCTGGTCCTTTCTGATACAGGCATCTCATTTTTCCTACCTGAGTGGTGACAGCTGAAGATGAAGAAAGGACAGCAGCAGGGGCAGGTGTTTCTGTGCCTCCTGCGGGGCCCTGTGCTCCACACCCTGCTAGTCACTGAGCCACCCCAAAGGACCAGGAGGGGCAGCCGGTGGTCACCTAACACATACCACGTCTTTCTTAAATTGCCCAGCACCAGCACCAGCTTCCCAGAGTTCACCACTGCTGAAGAGAGTGGAAGGACGGTTTTGGGCAGTTTGCAGGCAACGATCCTGCTTCCGCAGCCCTGTCCGTTGTGAGCCACCCAGCCACAGCCTGGCACTGCTGGCTCATACAAGCTGAAACCAATTCTACCCCACGAGCTTCTCCTGAAGAACAGTCACCACCCACGTGGATGCCAACTTCATTTCCCCAAATCCTGCCAGGACCTGAAGCAGCATCTGTTACACCAACTACACAAACTCCTAACAAGATGTGCAGGTTTCGTGCCAGGAAAAGCCAGCTCCCTTTCAAGGGCTAACACCTCAAATAAGGCCAGCAGCTACTAAAGGGAGAGATCCAGTTGGTAAATTCACTTTCGGGCTAATCTCAACTCCCACCACACAGGAAACTCCTCCTGGGCAAGCTCCAGTTCTGCCAAAGGCATTGGGAAGACCACGGCTCTGACCAGTGCAGAGGGGACACTTACCCAGGGTTCTCCGGATGAGGTACAGCTGGTCGACATCAGACTTGCCAGGCCACAGGGGCACCCCAGACAGCAGCTCTGCAAAGACACAGCCTATCGCCCACACGTCCACGGGAGGGCCGTACTGGGTGTCTCCCACAAGTAACTCCGGAGAGCGATACCACCTGGTAGCCACGTAGTCTGTGTAATAATCACTCGGACCAGCTAGGTTGGGGTCAGGAAGGAGAGAAACGAAAAGGAATGAGGGATCAGAACGATACAGACGAGCCAACATCAGTTGTTAGACACGTTGGGGCAGCAACAGCTACAGGAACAGGATGAGTCACTGGCCACTAGCAGAACCCAACTTTGGAAACACTTGAAGATTTGGAAAAAATCAAGACCATATTTTTTTCGAAACGAAAACAAGCAGAGCTCCACAGCAGGGCCCTGCATCAGCCTGTGGTCAGTTCTCAAAGCCCACGTGATTTGTCTGAACAAGAGCTAAAAAAAAAAATAAATTAGGGGGTTTACTTCAACGGAAAATGTGAAGCCATTGTTTGCAGAGGCAGTGCCTTCTGCCAGAGGGGCCTCTCCTGCCAGGGAACTCCAGCTGTGTCTCCAGCATTGCATAAGCAACTGCTGGGCAGCTCGGAGGTGCCCAAGGCAGACTTCAATCTACCAGCACCACCAGCAGTTCAGCTGCACCAGCAGGGAGCTCAGAGGGAGCCCACAGAGGCACTTGGCATCCCTCTGTCTGGGCTAGCTCCCTTCGAGCTGGTTTGGGGATCTCTCCCCAGCCTTTGGCAGAGATTCTCTGTGAAAACACACCAGTTTTTATATAGGATTCATAGATTCATAGATTTCTAGGTTGGAAAAGACCTCAGAGATCATCCAGTCCAACCATCCCTAATCCCCATTAAACCATATCCCTAAGTAGTTCGTCCACCCCATTCTTAAACACATCCAGGAATGGGGACTCAACCACCTCCCTGGGCAGGATGTTTTACACATGTAGCAGATAAAGACAAGTGAGTCTTTACTGGTGTTTGAAAGCCCGATCCCACCCTTCATTTGAGCTTTCACGTGTTGACCATCTGTGTAAGCAGCGAGTCGGCACTCACTCAGGATGCGAGCAAATCCAAAGTCACAGAGTTTGATGACCGAGTGCTTTGTTATCAGGATGTTCTCTGGTTTTACATCTCGGTGGATACACTAGAGGCAGGAAAAAACAAGGTTAGAAATAAGTATTTAACCTCACCCTAATTCAGCCACGTACCCCTCG